TTGCTCTCTTTTTGCCAGGAAAATTATAACTACGGATCCCGTTATTTATTGATTGGTTACTCATACAATCGTGTTCTTTCTTCATGCCGGTGGCCTGAACGGAAACGTCTCGTGCCTTTGAGCCACTCTCACGCCCATTATTTGGAGCCATCATGACCGTCTATCGGCATTAGCGTGTCAGATTAAGCTTGCGTGTGCACGAGTGGGTCCGGCATCTGTTGGCAACATTTTTTGGGGTCAACAAAGGTTACTCTATCACACACAACGCTTAAAATCTCTGATTTTAAGTGAATCAAAACGAAGGCAGCAAATCCTAGCTTTCTTCCTCTCTCTCTCTCTTTTTCTCTCAACGCGCAGGAGCTCCAGAAGTCTCCAGAATAATGAACTGTCCAAGTCACCCAAGAGCCATCAAGCCCATGTAAATAATTCATTCACCATCCAATGGTTGAAGCAATGCACGTGTCAAGCTTCAGGAGAAAAACGTTTCACTAATAAAAGCGTGTTTCCAAAACAAGTTTATCCAACAAAATCTAGGAGCAAAAAGAACCAGGTTCGATTCCAACAATGTCTATATATTTAGTTATCTAACATATCTTGGTATGTGTTAACAATTAAGTATTTTCATTAGATTTATGAATTTAAAACATGACGTAAACTTTCTGAAAGTTCTTAAACATGCAATGATATGAATATTTTTGACACGTGACACTCACCAATCAATCACTCTTCGACTGATCTAAAATATGAACCGAAATATTTTTTACTAAATTGCAAGCATGATTATTAATTTTCTTATCATTTTATGAAATGTATTATACTATATAAGGAGTCATCCTTTTACAGGGGAATAAGACAAAAGTACAAAGTAAGGTCTAAATGATGATTATATCAATCACTCTCAATTACGATTATACACAAATAGGGGATTTACAATCAACCTAATTTAGCATAATATGATTTAAGTTGATATATATCAGATACATTATGAATCATGTTTGGTGTACAATTATGAATGACAATCTTGTTGACAACATGTCACGTGGCAAATTGTTATTGGATAGTTTGAAAAACTGATTTTTTCAATGAACAATTTTTTGAAAACTCATACATTGTCAACTACATTGTCATTCATAGTTGTACAGATACATTAATCCGTCTGCTAAGGACTTGGATGCTTGAGCATGATGGCCTTCTATATCAAAGCCTGAGCCAGACACAATCAAGCTTATTCACCAGCCATCAACTCCGGAGATGTTCTTTGACACCTTTGACTTCTATGGGTCATAAACCAATGAAATCCTCCATGGAAAAGTCCTCATTCTTTCCCTTCTTCCTGCCCACTCACACATACAAGGACGGATCCAGCACCCGGCCGGGGGCACGGCCGAGCATACTGGGTTCCGTCGGACCACCGGAACGGGTTGGGATTGGGAGTACTTCGTCGGCGCATCTACCTGGTTCGTCTTCTTCAATCCCCCATTGACCTTTTTT